TCCGAAGCAGCAGCAGCAGCAGTACTACTAGTAGTAAGTAGTATTCAAAAGCACGTCCGGCGTAGTGGCAGGAAACTAAAGCATCACAATCGAGGAATCGGTCAGGTCCAGGAAGGGGGAGGGGGGGGGGGAGAGGAGGAAGGTCAAGGAGCTAGGCCGAGTACAGGTCTTGTCCAGCCAAGCTAGTCTGGGAATAGGCTAGTGGCCTCGAAAAAAAGAAAATTGACAGCCAAAGGATTGGGGGATGGCAAGGACCCACTAGGCAAAAAAGAGAAATCTGACCTAAAAAATAAAAAAGGTGGGCAAAAAAGAGAGAAAAAGTGAAAAAAGGCGACCAGCAGGCGACTGTCTGGAGGGGAAAAAGGAAAAAAGGAGGGTGGGAATGGTAATCCACTTACAAATTACATGATTTTACATACAATACCAGGAAAAAGTCAAAGAAGGAAGAAAGAAGAGAAAAAAAAAAGTGGGAAGATTTAGTCCGAGGCACTCCGACCGCGTGGCTTGTCCCATGTAGCTAGGACTGGTTAGGATGATCGGAGGATCCAGGATTAATGAACAATCCAGAAAACGTCCTCGTGCATCAGTAAACGGACTTGTAGGTCTCGAGGCACTGGGATAAGGTATCACGGAGCACTGGATCGGGTGACACGATAAGCATACTACTAGAGCCCGTACCGCGGATGAGAGGCGAAATATGAGGGAAGCTCACGGGCAAGATAACGGACATCCGATGAGAGCTCTTTGGGGGGATTGTAGGCTGTAGCAACTCCAGATATTGGCTGGCTTGTTAGCTACACATGTACCCATTAGTTAGCACTAGACTGCTACTCCGTACATGGAGCTACAGCGATAGCTTGTTAGCCAAGCAGCAGTGAAAAGTCTTTCATGCCATTCTCATCCGATCAATCCCTATGAGGCATTATCATCCTGGTGGTGATACAGCATGTGCTCTTTTTTGGTATTACGATTTCGTACCGCAGCGGTATCTGATGCCGATTGCGCCTATCGATAAAGTGTGGGACAGCGCGATATCCGCACACATGAATTTCGGTCCTCGCTTCGTCGCGAACATTACTCGTTTTGTAGAGTATAGTTTTGCTGGAAAAGATCCTAATCATTATCCTGTTCTTTACTGCTCCTGTAGCACTATATATCTCCGTATGCCTGAACAGTCTGCTTCATACAGTGAGGCACTGAGTCGAAGGCTTCGGATGCGGATCAACTCTGCTGATAAGTCTGTGACACTTACACTCTCCACTGAAGCTCAGAGCCGGGTCAAGCTTACATTACCATACCGGAGCCAAAGGAGGGGTGGCATGGGGAAGGGGCACTTCCTTCCTAGTTGGGATGACGGACACCTCCGTAGCTCAGTCAAGGTTATAAGTCAAGTACATGGCAACTCGGCAAGGACTTCCAGCGGTCATCCTATATGATCCGTGCGATTCATGTCCGAGTTTGAAAAGGGCAAACAGCTTGAACTTTGACGGGGCCCTTGGTCGACCGAGACTTCCGTGCCTCAGACAGATGCAGGTTGGCTGGCTAAGCTGGTCAAATACCATACATACATACATAAATACATACGGTATGGTAACCGTGACCAGCGCTTCGGGAATGCCGGTGGAACCCCTCCATTCTTGAGGGGGTTGCGACAGCTTGCAGCAGCATAATGAGCATTGACTACGGATGAATGGGGGTTGGCCTTGATGGACGATGATTGATACAACTACTTTTGTAGATGGTCACATTGCTCGCAGGTAGTCAGTTTAGACAATTCCAATGGGTTATACTGGAATCACGTGGTGAGTGGACAGCTGGGCATCCGGCCATGTGCGACTTACCCCTCATTCATCTGGTGTTCATCTTCCACCACCACCAAACCACCAGCTCTCCCCAGCTCCCGGTTGAGCTTCCATGCAACCCAAGCACCAGAGCTCCCAGCTGGAGCTTTCCAGTGGAAAAGGGCCTAAGACCAAAGCAGCTAGGCCACTAGTGGCAAGTCCAACTTGGTTTAGCTCGACGCCACTCCAGTTCCTTATTCCCGTCTGAGTGGGGCTCTCGAAACGGGTGTACCTTAGCAGGCGATGGCCGAGGAGAAATTTTTCCATCTTCTCGAAACAAGTGGCCACCGCTGATTCCATGGGAGGCTGGGGCAAATCGCTGGCTAACTCGTATGTCTGGACTCTGGAAATCCCCCGATGCTGATGGTTATGTGGAATTCCGCTCCCCGAGAAGGGAAAGAAAAATTCTGTTTTTACAAAAAAAGGGGTAATCACGACGCCTCTGCGAAGGACCCCCATGACCTGGTGATTTCAAGGGACCAGTCCAACGGCCGAGGAAAGTGGTGCCTCGGACTCACACTATCGCAGGCCGCCGGTGTGGAGGGGTTGATGCCCAAGTTATCCTTAAGCGAAACTGGTTGCCGTGAATTCCCGCGCTTAGCTGGAGTGCGCACAAGGGAGAGGGGAAGCTCCGTCCTTGTTTAAATCCTGACCCGTTGACCGTGCTGTCTTTGACCCTCAATGGATATTAATCCAATGGTCAAAGTAGTGGTACTTTGTCGGGGCAAAGAAAGTCTATGCACCTGCACACGCGGCTAAGAGGTTCTAGCTCTCCGACATGAGGGGACGGCCCTGCTGTAGCCTGCTTAGCTTCGGTTCGACACCTACGGACTTCAGCCGATATGGTTGAATGCTTCCCCCCAGCCGCTAGTCTTGCAGAGGAATGTTCACGACCATCCATGGCTCTAATTCGATATGCAAGGAATAATGCCTGTTCTCTGACCAGGTCTATAATCCACATGGTTGCCATTGGTCTTCCTTTACCAAAATCCTCACCGACAGAGAGTTGGCCTGGAAAAAGTTTCGCATTCCGTGCGGAGAAAATTCTATTATTGGAAAAATGAACCTCCAATGGCCCGCCAGTCAGAGCGTGCGGTTGACCCTTGAGATTTACTATCGCACGAGTCAAGGCTTACTGTGATGTGCGGCCATACTTGGTAATTAGTGTGTCGCTGACCATGACTATGGCCGAGCGGGACTTGACATGAACTTGATTATCTGTTGTAGCACAGGTAGAGCTGACAATAACATTGACAGTGCTATTGTTTTTCTAATCCCTTGCATTCATCCAGCCAATACCACAACCACGATGTTCATGCAGGAAGATAGGTACATCGTACTCCTCGCAGGGGACCATGCATCGTTCCAACAGGAAGAGGTTCCCACGCCGCGGTCTCTGGAGGAGCCGCCTGCATTGGTGGCGCCAAAAATTGCACATCGAAGCAGCATCAGTTCTGCCGGCAGCTGGTCACTTTCCTTAATGGGCATATTGCAGTGCGCAAAGCATCATGATTGGATGAATTGCCAGCAGGGGATGATGCACGGTACCCAATTAGAGGCCGGCTGATGGGCAACTGGATCGTCCAATCAAACATTGATTGTCCATTGCTTACTCACCCCCCACTTCGGCACGTTCTGCTTTCCACTGCCGTTACAAATATTACCGTACGGTAACTAAGCATTGCCCCCCACGGATGTTTGCCTGGTCCGGTTCGCTTTGCTTTGCTAGCCACTGTCCAGCCTCCCATACTTCCTCTCGTGGGATTTCCCCCCCTTCATATTTCTTAACACTGGCTTTGGGGATGGATATTCATCCGTGGAAAACAAAGTGCCACAATCGAGATCCAACTCCGAAGTATCCTGGGGTATCTACGGAGTAGAATTCCGTATATCTGGTTGTTCAACCGATGAAGGTCAACGGTTATCGGCAAACCGTGATATGTGCTATTCCACCAGCGTTATCTTGATCGTTTATCAATCGCAGTCGCACTGCATCACGCCAACTGCAGAGTATACATCGACATATTGCAAGACTGCGGATCACAATTCTAGAAACACTGGCCCATCAGCCGATTTACCTTATACTCTACATATCCGACCATACTAGATCTAGACAATGACAATATCCCATCGCTACAATAGCACGTACATCGGACTGATGCACCTCATCCCTGTATCCGAGACAGACAAAGAAGAAGAAATATGTGCTAGCCGTGCCGCAAGAAAGCTTGTATAGCGGTGGCCGTTGAACTGCGGAGCGCACCAACCATCGGATATGGCATGTCACACAACCACCGACTGTAGTCCGCAGATGAGGTGCAGCAACCTCACCACAATGCAGCATAAACCCTCATATAAGCTACCAACTAGCTCCGATCACTTGCAAGCTTGTTTCCCGCTGCCGCTTATAACATCACCCAGCAGCACCACTCTACAGCATCATGGAACAGCCCATCGGCTACGGCGCCCAGCAGTGCCGTATATCCGTGTCCGATGCCCCACGGGGATCAGCCAGACAGCATCCGATGGAGTCTGAGGTCACTGTCCCCCTGGTACCGACGTGCCTCACCAACATCCGACTCTCCGCCGCCACGCATCTCAGCAATGACATCGTTCGAAACAAGCTATCTGTAGCCTCTAGCCTTAGTAGATAAAAGAGAGAGGGAGCCCTGACCGCTGCTAACTTCCCCATCACTTCAATTCCCACCTCAAACCATCATTGAACCCTCTACCCCATATTACACCGCACATAATGTCCCCCTCCAAGAAAGATTTCCACGTCGCCATCATCGGCGGCGGCATAGCAGGCGTCACGCTAGCCATTGCGCTCCACCACCGCAACATCCCCGTAACCATCTACGAGCAAGCGCACGAATTCGGCGAAGTAGGCGCCGGCGTCTCCTTCAGCCCCAACGCCGTTCAAGCCATGAAATACTGCCACGAGGGCATCCACAACGCATTTGAGAAAGTCTGCACGCGAAACCTCTGGCCCACCAAGCAAAAAGTCTGGTTCGATTATCTGGACGGATACAACCACAAGGAGAGCCCCCAAAACGGCCGCCAAAACATCGAATTCACCATCTCCAACAGTCTCGGCCAGAACGGCGTCCACCGTGCGCATTTCCTCGACGAACTGATCAAGCTGGTACCCAAGGAGATCTCTCGCTTCAACAAGCGACTAGAAGATATTCACGAGCGGATCAGCGATGGCAAGCTGATTATGAAGTTCGCCGATGGATCCGAGGATGTTGCGGACTTGGTCATCGGATGTGATGGGATCAAGTCCCAGGTACGCCAGATCATCGTCGGTGCGGATCATCCTTCTGCGAAGCCGTCGTATACTCACAAGTATGCGTATCGCGGTCTGGTGCCGATGGATAAGGCGGTTGAGGCGATTGGAGAGGAATTGGCTTCGAATTCTTGCATGCATGTAAGTAGCCCATTTATATTCACCTTTATGGACTAGGAGATTCATACTAACGGTGTTAATAGATGGGTCCCGGCGGCCACATGCTCACCTTCCCTGTGAACGGCGGCAAAACACTTAACATCGTCGCCTTCCACACTACCACCGACGAATGGGCCGAGTACCCCAGACTCACCCGCCAGGGTACCCGCGACGAGGTCCTCCGCGACTTTGCTGGCTATGGACCTAACGTGACCAATTTGCTTAAGTTGACTGATCCTCAACTCAGTGTGGTATGCATTGAAACCCCTTCTACTTCTACACCCCACCACTTTCTTCCAAATACTGATGAGTATACAGTGGGCCATCTTCGACCTAGGCGACCACCCGGTCCCAACATTCTACAAAGGCCGCGTCGGCATTTCGGGCGACGCCGCGCACGCCACCTCGCCGCACCACGGCGCCGGCGCCGGCTTCTGTATCGAGGATACGGCTGTGCTGGCAACACTGCTGGAAGACGAGCGGGTGCAGACGCACAAGGACCTTCAGGCCGTGCTGGCTGCGTTTGACGAGAACCGTCGCGAGCGGTCTCAGTGGTTGGTGCAGAGTAGTCGGTTCATTGGTGATTGCTATGAGTGGAGGGCTGATGGGGTGGGGAGCGACTTTAAGAAGATTGAGGAGGCGATTAACTATCGCAATGGAGTCATTGCGAATGTGGATGTTGGGAAGATGTGTGAGGAGGCCAAGGGGGTGTTGGGGAGGAAGATTGAGAAGGCTTCGTTGTGAGTAGATTTTAGGGAGGAGAGCTTGTACGCTGATAGATAAGAGGTTTCTGTTGGGATTTTGGTTTCTAGCGAGATATACTAGTTTTTTGGTTTGGGTTTATAGATTAATGCATTTGAGCGATTGAGATTGGATACTTTTTTCTTTCAGTGGTGATTGGCTTAGAGGGTTTGTAATAGTTGTGATAGTGGTCATGAGAGATTATGGTATAATAGGTATGTAGCACTTAGTGTGCATTGTTTTCACTGCATGGATGCCTTATGCGGCCCTCTCCCACAATGAGAAATGCTATTCGATGTTGACAGCTACAAGCCATTGTAGCTTCAGCCAAATATTCAGCCTCAAGGCTTCCCAAAATACAGAAGTAATAAATTAAAACCTCCTATAGACACAAATTTCCCAATATGAAGTATGAACAAGCGCCATTTTGATAATGACATCATCCTCCGCTTCGTAGCAGACAATCGACCGGGGTATCAAGAAATAAGTATAGAATCGTTCGATATGTCGTGGTGTCTACAGAAATGAAAATGTTAGCATAAACCTCTCACATGAAATCCAGGACCTCCCGTCCTAAATGTGATGAGGACATACCAGCATTATACACTGAACCATCTCTCATAAAGCAGTCATGTTATGTTTCTTTGCAGAGAATCGCATCCTCTGACTTTATATCCGACCTCGATTGCTCATTTTGAATCCCCTCCGACCTGAAAGACACCAACCACTCCCAAACATATGACCAGGGATTCATCAGACTCTCAATCGGACTGTAGGGCGATAACGCGGGGTCGTAGAAATGTGTCGCCATGATGATAGTTTCTTCTTTGACAGCCAAACTCAAGACTTTGATAATAAATCAATCGTTATTAGCGAAGAAAAGGAGTCAAAAGAGAAATGCGAAGCAACCTCATTCTTCAACCAGGGACAGCTTCAGCAACAAACAGTGCAAATGATGAGCATGATGGCGTGCCTCCACCGCTCATTGGTTCCCCGCATTTCCCAGTGCTGGGCGGTGGGCAACTGGCATGTTTGTTCTCCAATGAGGAGAAGATTGCAAACAGTGCAATATATCTTACTAATGTTTGGTGTGTTTGGAATGTTTGGCTGCTGTTCGGCTCGGGGTTACGGCCGAGACCCCCGAATTTGGGGGCTTGAATTTGGGACTTCGGATGTGACCGCCTTGTGGGCTTCCGATGTGGTTCTTGGTTTTGGCGGAGTGTTGGTTCCGATGGATGGCTGGGGGGAGGTGTTAGGAATTGGTGATCAGGTTTGATGGTGGGTTAGTTTCATTGTTGGGGATGTAATGAGTACATAGTATCTGTTCTCGTTCGTTTCCTGATCGATGTGTCTAGTGGCGTAATGCTGTTATGATGATGAAGGATTAATGCTTTGCGTTGTTGGGGGCTATCGAATATATGCTTAGGGGGCGGGGATGGGGAGACTGTTATGCCGCTTATTGATTACAGCACTCCAGAGTGAAAGTCAAAACGAGACTTTCGATTATCATTAGACAAGACAAATATGCCATTTTTTGTAAAACTACCAGCTGCAGCTTCACATAGCTTTCTAAGTGTAAAATCGCTCTCGCCTCCCTGGCAGCTTTTGCGATGAGCATACCCGAGATACAGAATGTGGAGACAGCCGGAGCAGTGGGTCTACTGGTTATCATCTACCCCAGGTCTTGGCTCAGTTGGTTAACTTGACTAGACAACTGCCAGCTTATGATGACTTTTGAATCGTGAGCTTGCAGTTGAGCTGCGTAAGCAGGAAGAAAAGAACATCATATAGTTCTGATGGGTAGAAGAAGCCTTCAGACGGTAGAACTCTACCGGAGGGTTCATCAGAGGAGGTCGACATATTGTTGCTAGCAATGCTGTCACGACCCATCACAAGTGACATTTCAGACTGAAGATGAGATAAAGGGAAATGAAAAGGAACAAAAAGTGCTACCTAAGGGTATGACCAGAGTTCTCAGGAAATGCGCAGCCTGGGATATGAGGCTACTGGCGATGGAGAATCTAGGCCATGAGGTGGTTTGAGAACTACAGTGAATTACGAGTGCTATCAGTAAATATCGGATGGCCTTACTTGTCAATTGATTCTATACTCCTCTCACATAGGAAATAAAACCAGGTCGACATTTATTTTAAAGAGGCTGAAGATCACAGAAGTCCTGACTTCATTTACTTCAAAGCTGCAAGCCATGCTTGCAGCCACTTCTCGCCGTTCGTCCTCCTCCATTAACATGCCTCTTGAGTTCCCACCGACCTTTAGATATCGATCTGCTTACCGAAGCCATGATGAGCGTTGCTAGGAAACATGGGCCAGGGGCTAACACCTCACATCATGGGACCGTATGGTCTCAAAACCGTTGGACGCGATAAATTTCCCTCTATTTTACCATACCGGATCTCGCCTTGCCGAGTGGGCCAGACCATTTCTTCTCCGGTCGTGAGGGAAAGATTTCAGTTCCTTTACGTCCAGTGAATGTGGCACACACAAACGCTGAAACTTACTTTGTTTTTCCTCATTCCCACTGAGATTCCCCTTCTCCATTCCCTCTCACACGCTCGCCTCCTGACAAATGATATCTGGAAGCTAAGACGATCATCTACTAGTCCTATCAATTTCGCTACCATCTCTGTGCTTTCATTATCAGTTCCATTGACAGTGAGTCACCTCTCATCATGTGCGAAACGCATGGCCAGGCACCCATGTCCTTTCTAACCAACGTGTTGCTGCTAGAGCCTCTAGAGCACATCAAACCATGACATCCCAGCCATGCAGCCAGATTGATGAGGAGATCTTCGTTGTCGCTCAGCAACTTCAGGAGGTACAAGCTTATCTTGACAGTCAAAAAGGGAAGCGTCGGGCCGATGGGAGCCCCAAGGACGGCCAGGATGTTATAAGAGAACAATATGAAGAGCTTAGAACGTATCTAAGATCACTGGAGGACAAGAAGCTCGCTACGAGTATTGCTTTGGCGGTAGACTCTGATAGCCGTGTTATTGCTGCGCTTACACGTGAAGAAGCTCAGGCAAGCGATGATCGACGTTTAGCAATCAGAATGAGTGTGAGAGACGATGACCCGGACTCTTTGACAATGGAAAGTGAGGTGGAGCAGCCTGACGCTGTCGGAGAGCCCCAGTCTAGTGATGATGAGTGCGTCGCAGGTCCCTCCATGACCTACAGAGAGAGACAGGCCTTGGAACTTGAGAAGTCGGCCGCCACAGAAACACAATGCTGTGTGTGCTACGAAAGCTTTTACACTCACAAGGTGACGCGATTGGACTGCAACCATAAATACTGTAACGATTGTCTCAAGGATCTTTTCCGGAGAGCGACGAAGGACTCAACTTTGTTCCCCCCACGATGCTGTCGTATGCCGATTCCTCTAGAACTTGTTCAGAAACACTTGTCAGAGACTGAGACGTCCGACTTCAGAAGCGCGGAGATAGAGTTTGCTACGACAGACCGGACCTACTGCTGCAATGCCAGCTGCGGCAAGTTCATACTACCTCACAACATCACAGCCGGCCGAGCCCAGTGTCCTCACTGCAGATCCGATACCTGCGCAATGTGCAAAAACTCATTCCATACTGATGACTGTGTTGAGGACGCCGAGCTCCAAGCTACACTAGCGCTGGCCAGCACCCAAGGCTGGCAACGGTGTTTCCGTTGCAGGGCTCTCGTCGACCTGGGCATCGGCTGTTACCACATCACGTATTGCAAAGACTCCCCGCCCCTATTGCCCACTTCTACTGACTTACCTATTCAAACAGGTGCAAATGTCGAGCCGAGTTTTGCTACCTCTGCGGCCTTCAGTGGAAGACTTGTGAATGCGTCGTATGGGCCGAGGAAAGACTCGTCGCCAGAGCGGTGGAAGTCGTGGACCGTCAGGCTGAAGCGCCCTTGCCACCTCAGGTCCGTCAACAACGGGTTAGACAGATGCAGGAAGATCTGCGACATAATCACGAGTGTGAACATCCCGGAAGATTCCGCCGTCTTGAAGGTTCAAGGAGGAGGGTATTCGAATGTGAGTTCTGTGGAGCCCGCCACCGGAATTATATTCTTGAGTGCCGCCATTGCCATATCGAACTTTGTGAGAGCTGCCGACGCCATCGCATTTAAGGCGGCATAGGAAGGGTACAAAGACTGTTGAATATGTGGAAGAGTAGGTTTATCGAGGAGTGTGGTACTTGATGAGTAGTTGAATGCCCATGTTTACAGGAAGCGCTGTTTCGTTTTCATGTTCGGATGCAGATTTAGTTGTCTTCTAGATTGTGCGCATCTCTGACTTGTCGGGATATCATCATCTTTGTCTCATGTCCAATTTCATATGGCAGAGCTGCCACTTCGCGAGGAGAGAGCTTTCGCGAGTGACCAGAGATCTAGCTATAGCTACCTCTAAACATAGAGAACAATACATACAAAAAGCTCTTCTAAATCTGACCAGCACATCTTCATAAGGGTAAAAAGGTTCAATACTACCGAACAATCATGCTGGTAGTTCTTCAATCCGGATAATTATACCACAGCAATCTATCTTCCTGATCTGATTTTCGATCCAATAATGTTTGGAAACAGGATATCAAAGAGCACGAACCCTATGGCCGTATGAATCTACTAGCTCAGGGGAATCTTTGCTGTAGCGAGGGCGTGCCGGTTAATCGGCGCCATGACGGCTTCCAGGTCATGGACGTCCCAAACAGAAAAACTACGACTGTCGTTGATTTCCACAATATTAGACTATCCTAAATGTTATATGACACGGTTTTCTACCCCTACGATGTACCTTAGCTCAAAATATCTTATGTTAATAGTGTATATGGAATGTAAACCTTAGTAATATGTTGCTCGCTAAATATCAAGCCTCATTAGAATGGCCAAAGAGATTTCAATCCAACCTTCGCTGCATATTGAATCTGACTAATTCGTAGATTCAATCGTGAGTTCCCAAGTTCGGGATCCGCGCCATGGTTCAGAAGTAGACGCATTACTTCTTGTTTGTTCTTCTGGGCGGCCAAGTATAAGGGCGTATGCCCGTCTTCGTCTTTCCAATTTACGTCGACACCGGCGTCAAGCAATCGCTGAATGAACTGTATACTGATGGTCCTAGATGCGACGGCATAGTGCAGCGCAGAAAAACCGTGATTGTCAAGTGCGTGGGGATCGGAATCTTTGTCTAATAATGCTGTCGCCACTGCCTCTTGCTCTAGATATAGAGCGTACAAGAGTGGTGTACGCCCCTGTCGCCCCTTGATATTCGTTGATGCCTCGGCCTCGAGTAAAGGCTGGATTGCAGGGACGGTTCCCAGGCGGGCAATTGTAAGATGCAGAGCGGTGTCGCCACTGGAGTTTTGAGCGTCGATGTCGTCTCGGACAGCTCGAATGGCTAGTAGTAGCTTTGACTTCTTCATAAACTCTTCCAGGTTACCTTTAAAGGTCGACAGTTGTAGGGAGGTTTCGCGACCGGGCTCTGTACGAATTTGGGCATCGGCGCCGTATGAAAGAAGGAGTTCGACCCACTCCGCTGAGGCGGATTCTGAGACAATGTGCAAAGCTGTGTAGCCATTGTGCAGTCTATTGAGGCTTGGGTGTGTTGTAAGGAGGGCTTGAAGCTTCACTGTACTGGCTCGGTCGAAGGTTTGGGTTGTTTTGACGAAGTTCCAGAGTTCCGTGGAGAAGTAGTCCTAAATTTGAGTTACTAGATTGTTGATTCCTGGGGGAGGGTCATGAAGCGGACTGAAATACCATCTCATCGACTGAATACGAACCAAGTCCATTGAATGTATTATCGAGAAGGCCGGCCCATTGCGTATCATCGATTGATGCTTGTGTCGAATTACTAAGGGCCCATGTAAAGCCATTCGCTGGACCGGTATCTCCTGTACTACGGAGCTCCGGGCCCATTGACTCTTCGTTACTGTCCGGGATAGCCCAGCTGCTCTCTAAGTCCACCGATGCTGATGGACGGGCTTCAGGGAGCGGATCCAACAGTCTCTTGATGAAACTGCATCCCTGAAGGCTCACGTTGTTCTCCTTCAAATGTCCCTCAGGGAACGCCATGCGTCCCTTGGCATAGCCACGAAGTAACTCGTAATTGCCGAAGGGGGTTTGCTTGGTCAGGACGTAATAGAGCAGGCACCCAAGGGACCAGATGTCGACTGCGCTGGTAAAAGACGAGTCCTCTTTCGTATCATCGAGGAGATGCAAGACCTCTGGCGCCATGAAGCCCGCCGTTCCACAAGCGGTTCGGGGCTCTGTTTGCCCCTCGAGTGCACGCTTGCTCACTCCAAAGTCTGTGATCTTAACTTTAATAGGAGACTTTTCAAAGACTAAGACATTCTATTGTGCTGTCAGTTTAGACTATTCATGTCTCGAAATATCTGTGGTTGGGTGTAATGGACATGCCTCTGGTTTGATGTCACGATGGACAATGCTGAGACTGTGTAGCACTGCCAGGCCTTCCAATAGTTGCGAGCATATTTCTCGGGCCTCGGGTTCAGAAACCGGGCCCAGGTAACATTCTTTGAGGTCGCCGTAGGGGCAATATTCCATTGCGAGACAGACATGATCCTTGTAAGGGAACCACCCGATGAAGTCGACGAAAAGCGGTTTGCTAGACGAGGCCTGGGTCAGCCATTGCAAGGGAGGAGACACGAGAAAGAAAGATTACTCCGTAGCTCGGGAAACTCTTCCCATCAGGTCTATTTCCGACCTATAGTTGATCCTCTTGTCGGTTGTGGTGACCTGTTTGACCACTCGCAGCTGGCCCGACTGTGACTCCTCGACGTATACATCTCTAGTCAGCTCGCGCTTTCTAGTCCATATCACCACCGCTCTTCCGTTATCCTTCCATGCTTGTTCGGAGCTATGGTGCAGGATCTCTCTATTGCAGCTCTCAGAAATCGCCGTTACGTTAAGTCTGAAGCTTTCTGTTATTTCATCCATGGTTTGAGGAGGTGGAGGATATACGAGGCTGAATGCAGCAAGGCTGAGGCTGAAGGTGGACAGTCACCTGATTCTTCTGCCTTCTTCTGTAGATCACCTACTTACCCCTCACGAGACTGACAACATCATCGTTCCCATGGATCCTGCTTCTCTCGCTCTCTCCATTTTTGGGACCTTGGATATATGTCTCAGGTAAGTGGCAAACCCCTTTGCCGATATCTACTGCGCATGCACTGCTGATTTGTCTCGGGCAGATACGGCAAGCGCCTCGTTGAATTATGTCGCGAAATTCGCAACCTCCAAAACGACATCGCCCAGATCGCCTTAACAATTGAAGGCGTATGGCTGAAAACGGAGATTCAGTTGGATTTATTGAAGCGCTTATCGAGAGCTGGATCGTTAGACCACACCTTGAGTGGCCATTATGGAGAGGCTCTTCAGCGACTGCGGGTGAAGATCTCTGGCGCTGTGACGGGCTTCGAGGCAGTTCACAAACGGTCGATTTCCACCTCAAGATTCCCCCAAGTGGCTTGGACGGTGTACTTAAAGCGACATCTCGAGGGAGTGGTAAGCGATCTCGAGGAATGGCAGCGCCGGTTCGATCCGTCTTGGTATCTTATCACTTTCATTGCCAATCCTCTCGTGGACGAGCAATTAGAGTCGAAGAAGAATGAGGAGCCATCGGCAGCAAAACTATTGGAATTCAGAGATGCTCTGCGACAGATTTCTACGGCGAAAACCCCGATCAACGGCTCGATCTTCAAAAGCCCAGCTCTCCTTGAACAACGACAGCATATCACGGGGACCAACGACTACCTTTCTCGCTATCTCGGTACTAAACAGGAAGTCCTTCTCGATGTTACAAGCTATACCCGCAAATCAGCTTTGACAAGCAGAGTCCATGTCAGAGACTTAGCGCGACTTCTCCGCCATGTCGACCCCTCGACATTTAGCCTTTTGAAATGCGACGGCGTGATCGAGGTCCTCACTGACCAGGAAACCCAATTCCAATTCATCTTCGAAATTCCTCACGGATTGTACTCTCCGAGACCGCTCCGAAACTTCCTGGCAGAATCACCGCGTATTTCTCTGAGCAAGCGCGTCCAGCTTGCGAAACAACTCGCCCGATCAGTCATGTTCGTCCATACAACTGGCTTCGTGCACAAAGGCATTCGACCGGAAACCATTATGATCTTCCGCGAAGGTAACCAAGACATCGGCCCTTCTTTCCTTGTCGGGTTCGAGCGTGTTCGGCGCGCAGAAGCTCAGACTGATCTACTAGGCGACCTGGAGTGGGAAAGGAACCTCTACCGACACCCCGTGCGGCAGGGGCTTTGGTCCGACGAAGCGTTTACCATGCAGCATGACATTTACAGTCTGGGGGTTTGTCTTCTTGAGATAGCCCTATGGGAGTCGTTTGTTCGCGGTGATGACATCGGAAGGACAACTCCTTGGTCGGACCTGGACATCCACGATGCCATCTCGGACAAGGATGCTCGGCGTGGAGGCTTCGCTATGAAGAGAGAACTTGTTGCAATGGCTAAGGATCGACTTCCTGCCACGGTGGGGGATCAGTACACGAATATTGTTCTCGCGTGTCTGTGTTGTCTAGATGGGGTAAATGATAATATCTTTCGCGATGTCAAAGATGACGATGATATTGTAATAGGCATCCGCTTTATTGAGAATGTAAGCTCACTCCTTGCGTAACAAACGTCACGTACTAACCTGCCACAGGTACTGGTGAAACTAGAGGAGTTGCAGATATAGTTTAGTTCAGTATTGGCTTGAAATATGTATCTCGTTATACACGATTCTATCATAACGCACAGTGGGATTTGATATATCTACTACACGACCGAGCAAGTATTAAACACGCATGTTTTTGGGCATAAGAAAACATCCGATATAGAACCCCTTTACCCCACGACGCCCAGCCATCTGATTGATACAGATGCCTTGGTGTCTCTCAAACCCCTGCGGTATATGTCTCATCCATCAATCCAAAGCAATTGCACCGGTACGATTACCATACCTTGATTCTTCAAACGGCTCAAGAACCACCTTTCGCCAAAGAACATACCTTCTGAAGAAATATGGCCAAACAATCCTCACCTGATACAATACGAGATCCCGATTTCGCGCCTCGAAGACCCTCCCCATATCCTCCAGTGGGATTTTGGCGGTCTCCCGCATGAAAAAATACAACACCACAAAGGCCACTGGAACAGTGTATCTTTGCACCGCTCGGCATGATACAAGGAAACTGGCCAAATCTCTGACATAGCCATTTGGATTCGAAAACTTTGCGTCTATGATTTGCACGAGAACGCGCACAAGACTGTTGACCGATACCGTGATAGCGTATGCTTTGTCTAGTGTATATGGGTGTCTGTTAGTTACGCGTGTTTATTCCTGACCCAGTAAACAATCCCCGAGTGCAGCATCGGATAGAGCTCCATACCTCGACAATGGTACGGAAGCACCTCGACAGCGTACACCGTAGCCACCGCGGAAAAGACGACTGAGAGCATGAATTGAATGCAGAATGACACGATCAGGATGGCCAAGGAGCTAAAATCAAATGGTATCACTAGGAATAATAGTTGCATGATGATTAATACCAAGACAAACAGGAAACGGCGTTGTCCAACTTGGTTATGGTCGATCGAGCTATAGACAACAGAAATCGCACTGAGCGCAAAGCAGCTGGAGAAAACCATCGTCATGCGGACAACATTCTCAGTCGCATTGCTGTTCAAGAGGTGACCTGTTAGTAGTTCAGGGGGGATCATCAGGACCTGGATGAGCATTATTGTGATTGAGATGATAACGCGTCTGGGGGATTGGTTTGCACGAGATGACTCAAAAGAGCTGGCGACATAAATCCGATAGAGGTCACGAGCGGCAACAATGTTCGAGGAGCGAGTCTTATATAGTGTCTGAAGAGAAGTTGCTATGTGTCCCCGTGCCATAAACTGATATGGTGAATCTAAGGCCATATGCGGTAATGATAAAATATATAATGCAGCAATGGGTAGAATTATGATATGGACCCAGCTCACGTCTCGAAAGAGTGAGATAGATGCTGACAGTGAGGCGGACCTTACCAAGAGGTCAAAGCCGCATAGTGTCCTGTTTGAGGGGTGATGATGTTAGTCGACAGCGCTATAGCATGAGCCTGGGGACATACATAGGCCACATCATCATCGCGCGGCCCCGGATTGAAGCTGGGCCATATTCCGCGAGATATAGAGGAATATTGAACGATATTGTCGCCGATGCCACTCCGGCGAGTAAACGGTCGAGGAGGAGGGCTGCAAACCCTGGTCGCAGCCAATACCGGAAACTTTTCAGGAAAATAGCAAGGCATGCTCTCACTATGGCGAGAGACGATGCGGTACAAAGAGCTCGACGTCGACCGATGCTGTTACTTAAAAGCGCAGCAAGCGGGTGTTCTAGCAATGGGATTGCAACTAGTAGGACACTGTCAAGGATGTATTAACGACCGTAGGAAAGTAGCATGAAGCTGCCTTACCTATGGAGATCACCGAATGAATGTTGCCAGAACATAAGAAAATCATACGAGTGGAATGAAACTCTTAGTAGAACACTAGCAAATTAGCCGAATTGTCAAGCGACCACTCGATGGCTGTGCCGGTAAAGTGACTGACTAGAGTACACCTGCCAGAACGCAACACACTAAGGCCTTTGATTCGCGCAACTCTACCTTGTCATTTTGCAAGGCGGTGATCTCGGCGTCGGTCAGTCCATCGATGCGAGCGTAATCGTGAGGATCGTAGGCTAAGAGGGCACCCTTTCTGATCGAGTCTCGGGAATCGTGCAGGTTGTACCTGGTCACGAACTCATCGGCTTCGAGGAGGATTTGAGCTTTATCTAACCGGGTAGTAAGGCTTTGTTTGTCAGTCAGAGCGGCCAACAACAGGTTAACTGTAAGCTAGAGTGGGGCTGAAGTAGAATACCTCATCGTGCTTGTATTGCCTCCAACATTACTGGATATTATACTGGAGCAGTGAAGATGTTGAAGTCAAGATAGATTGCGAGTGGAAGGTAGATATACTCGATTTGCTTACCTGCTCAGCCTCACTTTCATCCAGCTTACGTACTCCCAGCCTCGCCCAGTGAAGCCGAGAGAAGAACTTCTTGTTCCTCGGTAACACCACCATGGTGGTTCCTGAATCTTACTCCCCAGGATAGATAAGATTGCCTAATCATGCAAGTTCCGAGTTGAGGTATGCCAGAATAATGCATTTTCCGATGCTGAGCAATCCTCTGTTCGCATCGACAGTATTGCGTTTTTGCACACGAAGATTCCCGATAGCAAGACAGGGTGTCTCGTGCGGGGCTTCTCATGCAAGGCTGAACTTAATTTGACCCCCATTATTCAGGAAGGCCCTGAAGTCTGTTCCACCTGTAGCCTATTATGAAAATGTCTCATGCGGATACATTGTCAAAAGGGTATCGCTATCCAGGATTCTGGAAGCAGCTGCGGGAGTAAGAGATACAGAATCTTCTATGTTCATAGGAATTGAAGTAGTTGCTGAGCATATACCACTCTGCTTGGTAACTAGATTATTCAACTAGCTTCTTAGTAGTCTTAATCACGCTATTTTCTCAAATACCTCTAGTCATATAGTACAAATGTCCCTGCAATAGTATATCCCGATCCCTTCATGCAACCTGCTCGAAGTACTTCAAAAACTCTGCATCCTGGATCAAAGCCTCATACTCCAACTCCGGTGCTTGCACGAAAACCTCAAATACCCTCGTATCACTCTCAGAGAAATTTGGTAGAATTACCGCGCACGCGCCCGGCACTCCCGCCTGCACTCGAAAAGCCACGGGCCTTGCTGCCCCTCCTAGATCATACTTAGCCGCGCTCCCGGTATACCAGGTGTTCATGAACAGATCCATGCCCGCAAAGTCAGCGTTCGGAAGAAGTATCTGAGTGTCTGCGAGTGAGGTCTGCAGCGCTGTAATGTGCCCAATCTTCGATATGTCAACGGCGTGGATGGATTGGCGGATCTTCGTAGCTGCTGCGGCAAGACTGCGGTCCCCGTCGGATATGAGTGTGGTGGCGGGTACTGGCCCAGCGAGGGTGCCGATGACGGCGTTGCCAAAGTACTGGAGCGTGGTTTTATGTTCTGGGTCGCGGGATCGGACGTCGATGGGGTGGACGAAGCGCGATGGAGCGTTGGCTTGGTCGGGATGGATGTGCAGACGGGCCCGGGTGAGAGCGATCCATACGAGGGCGGATATGCAGTCGTAGGAGGTTATGTACTCCACCTGGTCCAGGTATTGGGCGCATCGAGCTTTAAGCTGTTGGATGGTGGGCTCTGCTATGCGGTAGATACCGGCGCGGGTTGGAGGCGGTGATTTGAATTGGAACTTGCTCTTTTCGATGATGTGGAACAGGGAAAGTTGAGCGAGTCGGTCTTCTCGCGAGAGGGTGATATTGAGCGCCGGGGTGTTGTAAGGGTCTCTTTTGAGGTCTGGAGTATAGGTTGGCATGGTCAAACCTTCTTGGTGTGCCTTGCTGCTTTGGCAGACAAGCGAGATGAAGGTGTCGAGAGATACCCAGTCCCCAGCTGCATGGTCCACACGAAACCCTACGGCCAGACCTCCTTGGATGAGGCTGACATGCATTAGGCAGACTGGATGCTTGGCCGTTGGTTCTTCTGGGAGGAATCGAGTCAAGTCCAGCTTGCTGGGAGAGAACGAGTCCTGTGCCAAGACATGGAAAGGGTTGCACTCGGTGCTCATGAACCGACGTATGCTGACTTGCACCGAGCTATCAGGGGAGGCTACGATGCAGAGCCTTCCAGACTCATTCAACTGGAGATTTCCTCCCATGAAGGGTAGTAGGTGAGTTGCGTGCTTGACTCCCTCCAGTAAAGAGGAAATCACACTCTCAGGATCAACAGTGGCCTGGAGGTCATAGAATAGGACGACTTTCACGGTCTTGGTGAAGCCTGCTTTGTCAAGGTCTGACAAGTCATACGTCCTCGGGTTCTCCATGGCCTCGTTTGCAGTTTGAATGCCTAGATTGTAAAGATTGTTGCTTTAGACGCATCCAGGGCTGTTAAGTAAAGAAGTCATCGCCGTCGGGAACCCGAACCGGTCAAGCTCCGGGACGCCTGAACCGCCCCGTTTGGGAGCCCGACCAGGCGGTTACTGGCATCGGGTGTTTCGACTTTACTCCAGCAGGAGTTCTTCGATTACTTACTATACTATATCTATCAATTTATACACTGTATATATGATGCTGAGCAATCGCTATCAATGTTACTGAATAACAAGGAGTGGTGTACAAGATACCTTCATGGATCCGCACAGGGCTTGTTTGACTCCGAACATGGACTAGCATTTACTACCTCTAACGAACAAACCGTTGGATCGGACGCAATTTGGGCTCTGATCTGGCCATGGGACAAAGCTGCCACTAGACTGGAGAATGCAAGTCTAATTCCGACGATGTCGCCACTCAGCATTTGGAATAGGGTTCAGGGATTAAGAATATGCAGACTTTGGAGTCTAGTCGCTTTGTCGCATCTCGAACGCATACGGTCCTTAGCTCATGGGGTCGCCCTTTCTTTATTACTGCTGCAGGATTCATCGGTCTTTCGGTCTTGTTAGCCTGCAGATCTCAACCCCGACGAAAACATTGTTTTATGCTACGGGAATCGCTTTCCAATTGCAATTCGGTGACCCGGGCAAAAAGGCAGCTGGAGCTTCGTGAGATCCATTCACGTGAGAGGGGAATTATGGATGATTAGCTGTGGGACTGGTTCTCTGACTTGAACTTGCCAGAGAGGGATTTGGCGTTGACTTCATTGTGTTACCGTAGTATTTGAGGAGATTCCCGTGACTGTTGAGAGTGACAGCTGATTAGAGTTGGATGACAAGAAACTGAAAGATTGATGACTGATAGAACAGGGGATAACTGAGGGAAGAGAGTCCTTTGAAATCTCTGTGCCTCCCGATCATTCACTCCAGCTCGTCTTGGTAAGCCACTTCATCAAGTGTTTCTACCTCTTCTCTCTTTTCATAGCCTTCGCTCAACCTCACTTCTCCTGCACCGACCGTCTTCCGTAACCGACAACCAAGGCCTCGACCAACAGAATCTCCCGCGTCCTCCTTCAGTATCAGGTCATTCTAATCGCGCACCGACCACGAGTTTACGTTACTTTCTTGTCTCAGTTGAATCGCACCTGTCATCTTGACAGGTCAACCAAGATGCTGGACACTCTTCCCCTGGAACTTTTGAATATGATACTCAGCAATGTGAGTTCTGAATCTGTCCTTGGAGTTGAATCAGGCCTCATTCAACTATCCTCCAAGATTACCAGCCACAGGGACTTGAAGCAAATATGTGAGGTCTGCACCCGCCTGTGGGACTGTGCTACCCCCCATCTTTATCGGTGCCTAGTCTTTACTGCTGCGAATTCGTCATTTGCTGAGTTGACTGCGGCTGTAAAGGCAATTCCTACAAGATACGCGAAGTATATACGAGAGCTTGAATTGAGAATTCCGATCCATCACCGAGCATGCGCGCATTGTTGGTGTTGCGACGAGTTGTGGTCAGTCGAAGATGACGCATCCGTTCCCGAGGAGCTGCTATGCGACTACTTTGAAGGGATAGATGATGAACGTACATATGGCGAGGTAAGCAAAGTGATGCCATGATCCACTATTTCAATGGTTTGAAAGCGCACTAACTTTCAAGATATCCGATGATGACTGCCCATTCGTTGACCTGATGCATGCTCTAAATGATTTGCAGTTCCTTGATGACCAATTACGAAGTTTTCGGTGGAATCTTGGACAGTGCATTCCAGACATTACACTATCTTCTAACGAATTTTCCCTTCTAAGAAAGCAGAGGAAGATCGAGTCTCTCATAATCCACACGGATATTTATTGTGATCATGGTGTGGGCTCTGTTGACCTTGTGCAGTTCCCAGACCTGAGAAGCCTCTCCTGGAAAGGCCTGAACAAGTATAGCGACTTCGAGTGCCTCAAGGACTGTATTAGAGCTCATGGTAATCAATTAGTCTCGCTTACACTAGATCTTGTCGACTGGTATCGCGCAAAAGATATTTGGACCGATGAGTTTCGCCGACAGAGCGACGAAGCAATGCCAGACAATTTCCTTGTTCAGAGAATTATGAACCCAAAAGCTGAAGACGAGAAAATGATTTTGCAGTCACTCAAATACCTTGACTTGTCGGCTATATCGTTTGAGATTGCTGCCATCGATATGCCGGTTTTGTTCAATACTGAGAGCCTGAGGACCTTGAAGCTGCGGAAATGTATAGGATCCCTCAAGTGGCTAGAACTGGTATCAAGCTCTGGGAAGTTGACAGAGCTTAAAAGCTTCGAGCTTGTTCTTACCAACTGTGGGCCTATAAACACAATGAAGACAATCTGCAACTTCATTGAAAGAGCTCCCAAATTAGAGATTCTCTGTCTCATGCTCCGCAGACCCATCAATTGGGAGTCTCTCATAAATACAATTTGCCGTTGCAGCTCTCTGACACGTCTCGTCATGCATGGTTTGGCGGACGAAGGTAACCAGATCCTCGGTGGAGAAGGTATGCCTTGGCCTTCGGGTTTGGAACGATTATTGCAGGACAAACAGTTAGCCTGTTTTGGATCCTCTACACCACCCAGTGAATTAGTGAGTGCATATTGTGCATGTCTAATGTCCTGTAGCTACTACTAACCAGACCACAAGGCCAGTCAGTTACAAATATTGCAGGCTAGATCTTTATGCAAGCTTCTGCACATCAGAGCGACTGGGAAGGCAATGGTGAGTATGTATTATTCGAACATACGTGGTAAGTGTACTCCAAACGCCAATGGTAATGGTTGCAAAGGCAAAAAATTAACACCGAGATAGATCCATCGTTCCCTCCTCTTGAGATATACAAATTTGCGAAGTGGGCGTTCAGTGCTGACGGTCTGCCCAACCTTACCGTACTCGCTTGGGGGGACTTCTCTCATGAAGGCCACTATTCAGAACACAATGATCTCCTATGCAGATGCGGGACTGGCTACCGACGTTTGAACCCATCTGACATATCGCTTTGGGATCTCGTGAATGATAACATGGACATGCTGGCCGCCTGTCCTTTTGCGGAGTTTACAGACCTATCAATCGACGATTTTATGTAGCTTTTTATTCGGTTGTCGTCAGAAAGAGTATGGTTTTATCTCGGTGTATTTCATAGCCTACAGCTGAACTAAGGCTGAATGGGAACTATGCGACTCAAATTATGAAGCTTGTACCCCTCTCATAGTACATTTTCTGCCCCATGCAAATAGCCTACTCTAAGATCACTGACAAGTAACGGTTATTATTGACATACCGCTCAAAAGACTTTTCTTACCGACCCAAGCAGGAAATAATATAGCAGCGATGTCCCGCGGGATAGCTGCTATGCGGATATATCCGAGCGTGATGACCTCGGTGTGCTACAAAGCAAATAAGATATATCCGTAGACAATGCTGGTAAGATGGCCGAGTGGTTAAGGCGAGCGGCTTAAGAGAGTATTTCGGATTTTACTTGTTCGGAATACTTAAAACTCCGCTTGACGAAAGTCAGCCTGGGTTCGAACCCCAGTCTTACCATTTTGTTTTTCCTGCTTAATGGTTTTTATACTTGGGGTTTATTCTACAGTTTTATTTCCTAGGGTGTGATTTGAAGCTGGACAAGTTTTTGTGTTGTTTTTAAACAGTGGAACTTCCTTCACATGGTGCGGCTCGCCCGTGTCAATGCCTTATATCTTTACTTTCCAGTTGGTCTGGTTGCGTGACTGCTTGCGAACCAACCCCTTCTATCCTGATGCAGTAAAATAGCTCAAAGAATTGATACAGCAAGCCATGTAATGGTGTTTAGGTTCCTTAGTCCTGTGATCTCTGTTCGATGCCAATAGCAGGACCTGCTTGAACGAAGATTGAGTGACTTTATACTATACTATACTGCTATGTATGATGAACATGTGCATCGAGCAGGTGCCAGTGGCTGAATAGTATTAAAACAAATTCCAGGACTTGTCTACTCGACCTATCTATCAGTTTATATACTGAATCACTGCCAGCAGTTTATGGGGCTCCTTTTTTTGAAGTGGTTTTATTGACTCACGATTCTTGATCAGGCATTTCTTCTTTCTTTTCATCCTTTGCATGTTGGGAGCAGTACTTGATAATCCAAGGGTGTTGTCGGACCTTTTCCAGGGTGATCCTTTGATCCGCATCAAGGACAAGAAGCTTAGGTACTGTCAGCATCGTTTCGCTACGAAAGAGGTGACGATTACTTTACCTTCCTGATAAGGTCTTTTGCCTCAAGACTCACAAAAGAAGGGATTACCATATCCGCTTTCATGATCCTTCTCTGCGTCATGACAGGCGTATCCTCAAATGGAGCACTCCCAACGAGGAACTCATACAATAAAACCCCAAGGGACCATAAATCCACCTTCTGATTATACGGCTTATCACACTTCTTCGGATCAACCATTTCAGGAGGCAAGTAGTCCAGTGTGCCACATTTCGTAAGCCTGCGACCACTTGGCGCGTGAACACTCCAGCCGAAATCCGACATTTTGAGCTCTCCATGGATACCAACAAGAATATTTTCCGGCTTAATATCCCGATGGATAACATGCTTGCGGTGTAGATATTGCAGAGCATTCGCCATTTGCGCAATGTACTGCGCAGCCTTCCACTCCGGAAACCTGTTCTCCTTTTGCAAGTGCTTGTATAGCTCTCCCTTGCCCGCAAACTCCAATATGAGTATTATTCGTTTGCTATCGTGAAAGTGGCCGTAGAGCCGAAGAATATTAGGATGGCGCAGATTACTCTGGATCTCAATCTCGCGGGCCACCTGTTTTTCTACCCTTCCTTGTTGAATTTCATTCTTGTGAAGTACCTTCAAAGCACAAACAAATCCGCTGTCTCGCTCCCGAGCAAGGTAGACCCGTCCGAACTTTCCTTTGCCCAGCGCTTTGCCTATTTCGAACATGCCTAAGTGTAATAGTCTGGGCATTGGCTGTCTTGTAAGCTTGGCGGAGTGTTGTTCGTGCTTGACTGCGGCATTCGGTGCCTGTGATAGAACGGACAGAGGATGGCGAGCTTGTGAAGTTGATGATTGTCTTTCTTTCTGTCGGGGAGGTTGGGAGGGTGTGGAGCTTTGACGTGCAGTTGGTGTCTTGGAATCAGTAGTGGCATGTTGGTCATCTTCATTGAAAGCATCTTCGGAGACTTGCGACACTACAGAAGCGAGTGGATGTCTTGTCCTCGGGGGACTTTGTTGGACTTTCGTTGATGCGGACTGGAAAGGATCGGTGGTCGCAGTCTTAGGAGGATTTGGTTCGCAATTCTTTGGTCGTAGAGAACGGTTCACCGGTCGTGTTGTCGAAGTCGTGGTCTGCTTTCTGTCGTCAATCGTGCCCTCATATTTAGCTAGATGAATCATTGGGTGGGACATACTTTAGCTTTCTGTTGAAGTTTCGCACCATCGTGAGCATTCTCATCGACAATGGCCATATGCCTGAACCGGGTCTCAAGCGCGACGGTCACCATGTTTAGATCTTTTGCCGTGACCTTGCTTGCTTGTTCTATGAAACCAAGAATGATCGATAATCTTTGAGGCTCGTTGTGCTGTGTGAGCCATGCTGGGGAACTGATAGAGGATGTGTAAGCCTGTCATGCGAGCTGCATTACGTTGCCGCGGTAACTGGCCGATTGTACAGCAGTAAAACCCCTGTACAAGTAACCTTTCTGTCAAGTGCACAGTTAATGCAAGTATCAAAGTCTGGATCAAAAAAACTTTAAGATTCTAGTAGTTCTAGGCAGCTTTTCAAGATCTTGATATCTCCTATGAAACTGTGGGACCAACTAGTCATGATAGTAGCGCTTGCCCCAACCTGTTTTGATCTGCTACCCCACAGATCCACTCAGCCCGTTCGAATGAGAATGTTTGGCCCCAACATTGTAACAATAGTGCTGAGAGACATTGGCCTACAAATATAACCCTTTGCCTCCACAGCTGTACCTAACGATTTGTACTACTGGCGGATGCGAAAATTCCGTTGGCCAGCTGTAAGCGTACGTCAGCCGTCAGTAGTGGTGAATTTGGGAGGCCTCAGTGAAGATGTACGATGCTTTGTCAAAGAGGAAACGCCTAAAAGATGGACATTCAGGAATATATTCTGATTCTGTTATAGTCCTATCTCGCAGCTCTATGAGGAAACCAGAAGTGGTTTTGGCAGGCATCTACGACAAGTGTATGAAATGGTAACGCAACCCTGTAGTCATGAGAGCCGAAGATTCATTGAGACCTTTGAATGTCTTCTCGGCATTGTCAGTGAACCTCAAAAGCCTTGCTTGGTATATCTCGAACGTGAGAGCTAAGAGCATATAAACATCGCGTCCCGACCTGGCAGACCGAGTATCACGGCGAACCTTACTAGGTCGCTTGTCGAGGTCACTGCGTGCGATCAAGATACCGGTAATTAAATGTCCAGATCCAGTGTCTGTAATATCAGCTGCAATGCAAAGTGTACATTGGCGTTCTTGCAGCCACATCGAAGTGATAAGTATGCAATTGAGCAGCCAACAACGAGTTAACAGCGCGTGAGACTACAGCTGTATACTGAGATTGAGAAGATGATCAAGAAGTCGTGACTGTTAACTGCTGGAGTAGTATGTAAAAAACAAGATAACTGATTTCCTTTTATTGAAAAAGGACAAGGCTAGTAGTCATAGGCTCTAGGAGCAGGGTAATGGATGGAAAGAGCACGAGCCGTCAGCCCTTGCTTCGGCTAGAGACCGAATCCAGTACTGTCAATGGCCTCGACAAGATAGACCGTGACAGGCCTCAAATATGTAATTTGTAACGTCGCATGATCCAGTAATGTCCACCGCAGGTGCGATGCGGAGTTCTGGCACCAGGACAATACGATCAACGGCCTATTGTTAACATGGGGACAGGCTGATATGGCGCAGCCTCCTAGGAACTTCTAGTTATCCGCTGTTTCAGGAACTAGTGCTTTATGGAACCTAGTCAGACCTTCTGAATGGTGGTATTTCACTGTCATTAGTAACTATATTATTAGTTGTCATTGCCAAATGCACGGTTCTCCCTTGCTGAGATGCTGCAGAGAAGCCAACTTGGACAAGCTGGCCACGTATCATCATCCGACTTTCTTAGCAGTGTGACCAGCTACCGGTCAAGTGGATGTCGCATGACCAGGTGATGGTCCGGTGAATCTCAAGACCGATCAAGTCGGCAATATATAAGTAGTTTGAAGACGGAAATAAGCTCACAACACCTTGGCAGTGATCATGCAAATTACTCGGATTGAATGTGGGATAGGTAAATTAACTCAGATAATCAAACCTACTCGTATAAGGCGTTTAGATTCTCTAGTAAACTCTGCTTCGTTTGATTGTCCCTGACAGAGTTCCTGGATGATCGCGGGGAGTGCCTGACGTTAGCGCCCGACAGGTGAGGCCAACCACCGCCGCTTACGTACATCGCCGCTTATCGTCATCCCGGAAGCTCCCTGCCGACCTGCGCCTCCTCTATTTACTTCCTTTCCTCTCCAACCCCGACTCTTTCATTCCCATCCGTCCAACTCTTTCACCCGTTATCTCATCATTGTTGAATGTAATCAATCGCTCCATTCGCTCCTCCCCTATCGGCTACGCCCCCAATCATGCGGGGACTCCGCTTAATCCCCTTCATCGCAAGTCTTGGCGTTCTCCCTCAATCGTGGGCCCGGGAGGAACCGAGCTTAGGCTTCACCAACATCCATGAGCCTGGTCGTTGTGCAATCCGGGGCCATTGCGGAAAGAAGTCATTCTTTGGTGGGGAGCTCCCCTGTCCGGATAATGGCCTGGCACAACAGCCCGAACCAGCGGTGAGAAAGAAGCTGGTAGATCTCTGTGGTAGCAAATGGGAAGAAGGCCCTGTGTGCTGTCTGGATGAGCAAGTAAGCTCCATGGACGCCCCACATCTTCGGATCATCGAACCCTGCTGACTTGTCGTGCTATAGATCGATGCTCTCTCTAAGAATCTCAAACTCGCCGAAGGTATCATCGCGTCATGTCCCGCTTGCAAGGATAATTTCTTCAACATCTTCTGCACGTTCACCTGCTCCCCTGACCAGTCCTTGTTCGTCAACGTCACCGATATAGACGAGGCCCGCGGCGGAAAACAACTTGTCACCGAAATCGATAACATTTGGTCCGAACAGTATCAAAGCGGTTTCTACGACAGCTGCAAGAATGTCAAGAATGGCGCGTCAGGTGGTAAAGCCATCGACTTCATCGGTGGCGGTGCCAAGAACTACTCCCAATTCCTGAAGTTCCTGGGCGACAAAAAGCTTTTGGGGAGCCCATTCCAGATTAACTTCAAGACCGAGCCTGCTGGTTCAGATCCGGAGGGAATGAAGGCATTACCAATCAAGCCCAAGGCGTGCAACGACGCTGATGAGGCATTCCGTTGTTCTTGCGTTGACTGCCCCGATGTGTGCCCGGAGCTACCTGCCATAGAAACAGACAAGTACTGCCATGTTGGCCTATTGCCTTGTCTGTCGTTCGCAGTCATCCTCATCTACTCGGTCTTCTTACTGGTTGTCGTCGCTTTCTCCAGCTATTTCACCTACCGAGAACGCCGCTACCGGAAACCCGAACGCGTCAGACTCTTGCAGGATCCCGCCCCTAGTGATGATGAGGATGAAGGTGACATTGTTCGTGCAGGTGGTTATATCGAGCAGCCCAACGGTGTGTATAAGCTGAACTCTGTGCTGGACAGAATGTTCAACAGAATCGGTGGTGCCTGCGCTCGGTTTCCCGCCATCACAATTATTTCCAGTATTGTCGTGGTCGTTCTACTGAGCCTTGGTTGGTTCCGATTTGCCGTGGAGACAGACCCAGTTCGTCTTTGGGTAAGTCCCACCTCGGCAGCGGCACAAGAAAAGGCCTACTTCGATGCCAATTTCGGGCCGTTCTACCGGGCAGAACAAGCGTTTCTCGTTAATGACACGTCCTCAGGGGATGGGAGCGTTCTGAGCTACGACACTCTAAGTTGGTGGTTTGATGTGGAATCTCGAGTGCGCCGCATGATCTCTCTTGACCGAGGGCTAATCCTCGATGACATTTGCACAAAGCCTACCGGTGAAGCCTGTGTCATCCAGTCTCTGACTGGTTACTTTGGAGGATCGGTGGCAAATCTGGACCCAGACACGTGGGAGGCACGGCTTAAGCATTGCGCGGATTCACCTGGTGACGTGAGCTGTCTCCCAGACTTCGGACAACCACTAAGGGCAGAAATGATTTTGGGCGGCTATGGAGAGTCAAGAGACGTCTTAGACGCCCAAGCACTGATTACAACATGGGTTGTGGACAACCACGCGCAGGGGACAGAAGGTGAAGCTAATGCCATTGACTGGGAAAATAGCCTCAGACGCATTCTGGAAGTGGTGCAAGAAGAAGCCAAGGAGCGTGGACTACGTGTTTCGTTCACCACGGAGATCAGTGTTGAGCAAGAGTTAAACAAGTCCACGAACACCGACGCAAAAATCGTGGTCATCAGCTATATCATCATGTTCTTATATGCATCCCTGGCTTTGGGTTCAGTCACAGTTACGTGGAAATCCTTGTTCACCAATCCTGCGAACGCGTTGGTCCAGTCCAAGTTCACCCTGGGCATTGTCGGCATCCTCATTGTTCTGATGTCAGTCTCGGCGTCGGTTGGATTGTTTTCTGCAGCTGGCATAAAGGTCACCCTGATCATTGCCGAGGTCATTCCATTCCTCGTTCTGGCGGTGGGTGTAGACAATATTTTCTTGATTGTTCACGAGTTTGAACGAATCAACGTCAGTCACCCTGATGAAGAGATTGATGAGAGGATCGCCCGTGCCGTGGGCCGAATTGGCCCCAGTATCTTCCTATCTGCACTTACGGAGACTGTCGCTTTCGTCATGGGTGTCTTTGTGGGGATGCCTGCTGTGAGGAATTTCGCTGTTTATGCCGCTGGTGCTGTCTTCATCAACGCAGTCTTGCAAATCACCATGTTCATTTCGGTTCTGGCCTTGAATCAGAGGCGCGTTGAAAGCCTCCGCGCCGATTGCATCCCGTGTCTGACCGTCCGTAAAGCGCATTCCGGCATGTCTGAAGACCAGCTTCTTGATCACCAGGAAGGCGAAAGCGCTCTACAGGTGTTTATACGCAAGGTGTATGCATCTTCACTCCTTGCACGTAGGGTCAAAGTCATCGTTGTGATTACTTTCCTTGGCCTTTTGACTGCTGGGCTTGCTTTGATTCCCAAAGTGGCTCTTGGCCTGGACCAACGCATCGCTCTCCCAAGCGATTCTTATCTCATCCAATACTTCAATGACTTGGACGCTTACTTTGGAAGTGGGCCTCCGGTTTACTTTGTGACACGCAACGTAAACGTTACTGAACGCCACCACCAGCAACAACTTTGCGGACGCTTCACGACATGCGAGGAGTTCTCTTTGCCCTTTGTGCTCGAGCAGGAGTCGAAACGGTCTAATGTCTCATACATCTCAGGATCCACGGCTAGCTGGATCGATGACTTTTTCTACTGGCTTAACCCCCAACAAGACTGCTGCAAAGAGGGTGACGAGATCTGCTTCGAAGACAGGACACCCGCCTGGAATATTTCGCTTTATGGTATGCCTGAAGGAGATGAATTTATTCACTATGTGGAGAAGTGGATCGAATCTCCTACCGATGCGTCCTGCCCGTTGGGAGGCAAGGCGCCCTACAGCAATGCCCTTGTTATCGACCAGAAACGCGTCATGACCAACGCCAGCCATTTCCGGACCTCACACACCCCCTTGAGGACGCAAGATGACTTCATCAAGTCATACATTTCTGCCCGTCGTATAGCCGATGGCATCTCCAAGGAGCATGGAATTGATGTATTCCCATACTCCAAAACCTACATCTTCTTTGACCAATACGTCTCCATCGTACGGCTCACGGGTACATTACTGGGCTTCGCTGTTGCGATCATCTTCGCATTAACCTCCATCATCCTTGGATCCGTGGCAACTGGCGCGGTGGTCACTACGACCGTTGTCATGATTCTGGTTGACATTATGGGTGCCATGGCCATAGCTGGCGTGTCGCTTAACGCAGTTTCACTGGTGAATCTTATTATCTGCGTTGGTATTGCAGTAGAGTTTTGCGCACACATTGCTCGCGCGTTCATGTTTCCTTCCCGTGCCATTATGGAGAAGGTGCCGACCAAATTCCGGGGCAAAGATGCGCGGGCGTGGACAGCTCTGGTCAACGTTGGCGGCAGTGTCTTTAGTGGTATAACGGTGACCAAGCTCCTGGGGGTATGCGTGTTGGCCTTTACTCGCAGCAAGATTTTTGAGATCTATTACTTCCGAGTGTGGCTGGCTTTGATCTTATTTGCTGCCACCCATGCTCTCATCTTCTTGCCAGTAGCACTCAGCTATTTTGGTGGCGAGGGTAAGTTTACAATCGACAATACTTTGTACTTCGGTAACGCTTACTGACTATCTCCACGCAGGTTTTGCTGACCCGGGGGCTGATGGCGGTCTTGAAGAGAATCTTGCGTCCAGGGGCTACCGTTCCCTGCTGGGCGACGACGATTACGACTCTGACGAATATTAGACGCTCGTAGCGCTGGAACGCACCGTCTTATACAGCAAAACATGATATCACGTCTTATGAACCCGTCCACCATCAACTGATAGGACCTGAAACCATACTCGGCAGACGAAGCTGTACACCACATCTATATATTTTTGAAAGTTATACCAAGATGGTCGGGAGTTAGCACGGTTTAATCGGAGTTGGGTCAATGAAGCTTGGTTACTCAGTAGCATTCACACGCGTAAGAATACTCGGATAAACAATAATGGGGGCCCTCTTGCTGGGACGCGTGATCTATCGTGAAGGTCGTACCGAGTCTCCCGGACGAACTATTGTTCCGGCTGTGTAACGGAGAAAAGCAGGCGCGCCAGTCCCGCCCTTTCAGTAACTATGAGTAGGCGTCGCATAGGCAGACACAACTCTCGTCGTGGTTACCATATGCAAGTGGTAAATTTTCCCTGAACCGTCGTAGACCACAAGTAGAAAAAATACAATAATACAATAATAAAGTCAAAAAAGCACCGAGTGGATACAAACGGTGGGCGATCCTAGTTGGGCACCGAGTCAAAGGAGTATGGTATGTTACCAATCCTGCGAACCGGCCCCTGATTGGTATCCCGGGCCAGCTTCAAATACCGCTAAGCCGCAGTAGGCAAAATGAGTATCTCCGTAAAACAGCCCACCCGAACATAATTTTTTTTTTCGGTTCCCTTTTTCTTCCCCTCCATTCACTTTTTTTCTTCTTCTTCTTTTCTCTCCTTTTCCTCACTCCTCCCCCTCTTCCTCTTCTTACACTTTCCTTTTCCTTTGTGTTTATCCCTTTCTTGTTCTATATTTCTGTTTTTTTGATACCCTGTGGGCTGTCTGTTTGTGTGCAGTCAGCTCATTCAATCCAAGGACCTTCTGAAAAGGAGGTGCTGGTCTTGTCTTGTACGAGGCTTTTCTTCATTTTGAACAAACCAATACATTAGAAAAGAAGAGTTGCACAGTCCATCATGGATCAACAACGCTTTTTGCAGCAGCTTCAGATTGTCCTGAACCGTGAGTATTCCATCCTGCATTATGACGACCTGGCGAACAAGGCGTTGCTGACTGCTTATCTCAGCCGCCCAGGGTAACGTCAAGGAAGCGACGGGCGTTCTTCAGCGCGAGTTCTACAAGAGCCCCGAATCTCTCGTTCTCCTCATTCAGATCGCCACCGGCCATGAGGACCCGAACCTGAGGCAGCTGGCGGCCGTCGAAAGTCGGACGCTGGTTGTCAAGCACTGGGTTTCCGTTCAGGCGAACCAGAAGCCCCAGATCCGTGAACAACTTCTGCGTGCTGCTGTTGGCGAGAGTTCCTCTCTCGTCCGCCACTCGGTTGCTCGTGTCATCTCTGCCATTGCCAAGATCGATCTGAACGATGGCGAGTGGGCTGATCTGCCCAACTTCTTGCTCCAGGCCGCTAGCACCGGTAACAAGGAGGAGCGTGCCGTGAGCATCTACATCCTGCTCACTATCCTGGAGACTCTGGGCGATGGCTTCGAGGAGAAGTTTGATGAACTGTTCCAGCTTTTCAGCAAGACCATCAGTGATCCCGAGAGCGAGGAGGTGCGCATGAACACCCTCATGGCCCTGAGCAAGCTGGCCATGTACCTCGACTCCGAGGAGAACGTCGCTCCTGTGAAGGCGTTCCAGAACCTGATCCCCTCTATGGTTGCTGTTCTTAAGGATGTTATCACCCGTGAGCAGGACGATGGCATCATGCAGGGTTTTGAGGTCTTCCAGACTCTTCTGGGCTGTGACCCCGCTCTGTTGACCGTCCACCTCAAGGATCTCGTTATTTTCATGAATGAGCTGGCCGGAAACGTGGAGCAGGAGGAGGATGTCCGTACCCAGGCCATCAGTTTCCTCATGCAGTGCGTTCAGTACCGCAAGCTCAAGATCCAGGGCATGCGCATTGGTGAGCAGTTGACCCGCACGGCGCTGCAGGTTGTCACTGAGCTCGGAGATGCTTCCCCTGCCGATGATGACATTACCCCTGCCCGCTCTGCTCTTGGTCTCCTTGACATTCTTGCACAGAGCTTGCCTCCTAGCCAGGTCGTTGTGCCCCTGCTCCAGACCCTGGGACAGTACTTCAACAATGGCAATGCCGACTACCGCCGTGCTGGTATCATGGCTCTGGGAATGTGTGTCGAGGGTGCTCCCGACTTCATCAGCACTCAGATGCAGGAGATCTTCCCCATGGTTCTGCAGCTGCTTGCTGACCCCGAGCCCAAGGTCCGTCAGGCTTCCCTGCACGCCGTGGCTCGCTTGGCCGACGACTTGGCCGAGGACCTCAGCCAGGAGCACGAGAGACTCATGCCCCTGCTCTTCAAGAACCTGGCCAGCGCTATGCAGGAATACAAGGGTGAGGAGGACGGTCCTACCGTCGACATCATGAAGGCCGGTATCAGTGCGATTGACGCTGTTGTCGACGGCCTCGATGAGAAGGACGTTGCCCCTTACCAGGGTGAACTGGTCCCCATCCTGCACAACCTGTTCAAGCACCCCGACTTCCGTATCAAGGGCTTGGCTGCTGGAGCCCTGGGTTCCCTCGCCTCTTCCGCTGGCGACTCTTTCCTTCCCTTCTTCGACGACTCTATGCACCTCCTGCAGGAGTTTGCTACCGTCAAGGACAGCGAGGAAGAGCTCGACCTTCGTGCCAGTGTCACTGACGCCATGGGTGAGATGGCCGCTGCTNCCGGTCCCGAGCGCTACCAGCCTTACGTTGAGCCTCTCATGCGCGCTACTGAGGAGGCTCTCCACCTTGGTCACTCCCGCCTCAAGGAGAGCACCTACATCTTCTGGGGTGCCATGTCCAAGGTCTACGTGGAGCACTTCTCTCCCTTCCTTGATGGCGTTGTCAAGGGTCTTTTCGCTTGCATCGAGCAGGATGAGACTGATCTCGATGTCTCCCTGGGTGCTGCCGCCAAGGATCTCATCGGCCAGGAAGTGACCATCGGGGCCGCAAGGTCCGTGTTGCCGATGCGGACGATGATGATGACGAGCCTACTGGTGAGGATGGTGATATCGAGGATCTTGATGTTG